TGCTCCTCCCGTTTCACTCCGTTGCCTTTTCATCGCAGCGCCGTCATCGTCTTCCTCCCAACTGCTCCCTCCGTCTCTACCTTCCGTTTCCCCACCTCTGCTTCTGTCGGTCACCGCTAGACCCCGCGCCAAGGCAGTCCCATCGGATGCCTCTCGCCTGACGTGGACGCGGACCTCGCTCGCCCATCGCAGTGACCGCACTCGTTTGAATTCAGCGAGTGACGTATAGTTCTCCTACCAATCAGGAAATCACAGGTGTTACGTATTATTCATCTAAAGTTAACGTACAACACACGGAGAGAATTTGACAAAATTAACTTGGCATAATCTGCTATGAGCTCATCGATGTCCAGCTTGAAAGGAGCAATATCTATATTTACAGGCATGGCCAAGCCTGAAACTGTATAAGGAAACTATAGTTCAGTTGATTGGAGATAAAAACAAGAAATCGGCAACAGCCAGCAACGCGCAATGGAGTTGTAAATAAATAAATAAATTTCGGCGACCACTAACCTAAGAAGACCATGCTGACAATACTATGCAAACATCCTTGTGTTGGCTTAACTTAACGCGGCAATAGATGTTCAGTGTTTGAGCAAAGGTTGACACGGGGACCAATTGCCGGGGAATCGCAAGGGAAGGGCAGGAGGGGGGCGCTGAACACTGACGGAACTTACGCTACGAGCCTGGACGAGTGGACGGAGGACGGGAGGAGTCAGGCCGGGCCGCAACTGGTGAGCGGAGGCGGAGCCGCGTAAGTGCGGCGTCTCCTCCAGGGCTACAGGGCCGTCCCTTGACTGGATTTTCCAGTGCCGCCGACCTGGCGGCTGGCCGGAGAGGGCGGCGGCGGTCGGCCGAGGCTCCGAGTTGCGGCACGGCACCAAAATCCAGGAGGCGCAGCAGGGGCAGCGGGGGCGTATTGCCCCGCGGCTCCGTCCTCTCCTCGTGCGCGCGGGCGTACGGTCGGAAGGCGGCGGCAGGCGTCTCCGTTTCGAGGGGAGCGGAGCGGGCGACGATGAAGAAAAAGGAAAAAAAAAATTTATTGTCCTCGGCTTTCTATTTGGACCTTAGACTGTCTCCAATCAGGAAGACCTAAAAGTGAGACGCATTCGGTAGATTGGATCACACACAGTAGAATGGATAGGCAGCCAAAACTTCCATTTTCCAACCGAGGACGCAAAAAGAGAAGCGAGCAGCGAGCTCGGCCGGCCTTGGCTGGCGCGCTCGGCCCGAAGGCGGCTTCCGCCCGGCGAGCCTCGGCCCGGCCTCGGCTCGGCCCCGGCGAGCTCGGCCTGGCGAAGCTCGTTCGGCAGCGCCCGGCGGCAAGCGAGCTCGGCCCGGCGACGGTCGTCCCCGAGCTCCGCCCCGGCTCCGGTCATCCCTGAGCTCGTGGTGGTGGGCCCCGCCTGCGTGGAGGAGACGCAAAGGGAACGAGAGAGGACGCAAGTTTGCGTACCATGTTTCGTCGGACGCAAAATGGCTGTTGTGTTTGGGTAGTCCGTTGGAGGTCGCAAAAGCACTCTGCACTACCTAAAATGCGGATGGGTCACGGTTTGGGTACTCTGTTGGAGACAGTCTTACGGGCCCGTTTTTCTCCTTAAGGGCCTGTTTGGATTGGAGTTTTGCTATAGGAATTTCAAAGGAACAAGATTCCTCCATTTTGCTTACGTCACCGTGTGTTTGGATTGCAGGAATCGGGCGTCCCTTTCCTCTGGAAAGGCTTCGTTTCCTACCCAAAATGAAGGAAAGGAAACATCCACTTGAATTCCTTGGAAATTTTCCTGCGCGTGAAGGATGGCCTGATCACTTGCTAATAGCGATCTAGGAGCCTCGTTAGCAGTACCTACCTGAGCCGCCAGAGCCACCTTTCATGATTCCACTGTGCATTAGTATAAGCACTTAGATTTATTTCTAGCTCCCTCAAATTCCTGAGATATTTCAATTCCTGTGTTCCAAACACAACTCCAATGAAATTCCTGTGTTTTTCCAATCCTCTGTTTTACCCATTCATTCAATTTCTGTTTTTCTTGTTCCTGCGTTTTTTCTCATTCCTATGTTTTGTATTCCTCCGTTCCAAACATGCCTAAGAAATATTGGCCCGTGTAATTTGGATTTCGGCTATGGCACTGGTATACTAACGAAAAATCTCGAATATTTGATTTGATTTGACCTACACAACCCACTATCCTCCGGCCTAAATACATTAAACATTTTTTTACTTCTCCCATATGCATATCTGTGTATGCATGATACATACTATTAGTGGATTTGTAATATATTCTAGCTGGAATATTGGGGTATTCATATAGATAGCCAAACGGGTGGCCCAAACATGGCACGGCCTAAATACATTAAACATTTTTTTACATCTCCCATATGCATATCTGTGTATGCATGATACATACTATTAGTGTATTTGTAATATATTTTGGCTGGAATATTGGTGTATTCAGATAGATAGCAAACCGGGTGGCCCAAACATGGCACGACATGATTAGGCATGGCACTGTTAGGCACGAGCCGTGCCGTGTCATGGCACCGTGCCGGCTTCTCGGTCTAGGCACGACACTAAGGGCACCTGCAATGGATGACTTATAAACTAGCTCTAAGCTTTTTTCATATTTTAATAGAAGAGAGAAAAGTTAGCTCTTGATTAATTAAGAGCTAGCTCATACATACATTCCAAGATCATGTGACAGTATCATGTGAAGCTATCCATGTTATGAGATATATGCTAAAAGCTGACACTATTGAGTAAGATGGCTTAGAGCTACTGACTAGCTTATACCATTGCACGTGCCTTAAAGGCATCTAATCATGTCGTGTCGGCATGATGGGAACGACCGCCCATCAAGACCCGTGCTAGCCCCGACACGATCAACTGGAGCAGAGTTGTCGTTATTACCAGAAGCACCATGCAGTCGGTCTCCTGTGTCGTGCCACCGCCGTCGCAGCTGCTATGTCTCGTCACTGCCGTGGAGCCGCTGCACCACGTCGTGTCACCGCTCTTCGGGGAGGCCAGGATGACAAAAGGGATCGAGCTAAGGAAGGTTGAGATAGGGAAACAGGTGTGAGAGGGAGGGTGGCGTTTGGGGTGAGGCGACCGACGGCGGGAGCCCCTAAGAAATACAAGATAAAGCCATGGGAGGGAGGAGCCGAAGCATCGGGTGCGACGGCTTGGGGTTTGTGGAAGAAATTCAGAGATACGAAAGAGGTTTATGTTATAGCTAGGTTTTGTAAACCCCAACGGTGAGGAATCTTAACCGAGGCGGGCAAAAAGGGTTAACCGAGACAGTTTTTGCAACCACCTCGGACGAAAGGTCACGGTTAATCGTGGCCTTAACCGAGGTGGTTTCCATGACCGCCTCGGTTAATCATTCAACGGAGGCGGGCTCTTTAAAACGCCCGCTTCGATTAATCGATAAAAAAAAAAAAAATCCTCGAGCTCACCGGCAAGCCTGTTCCCGAGCCCGCCGGTGAGCCTATTCCCAGCACACGAACCAGATCTGCCCCCGCCACGCCGCCATCCGCCGGGAGGAGCCGCCGCCTTCCGCTGCCTAGAGTAGACCGAGAGAGAGAGAGAGAGAGAGTAGATTGAAGTCGTCTATCCGCCCGCCGTGCCATCATCGCCTTGGATCTGGATCTGGATCTGCAAGGAGATGGAGTGTGAGAGAGGGAGATGGAGAGTAGACCGAGAGGGAGATGGAGACGACGGATCTGGCCGCTGGGTCCCGCTCGCTGCGCCACCGCCGTTTCCTGAGCGCCGCCATGAGGGAGTGGGCCACCTCGCGCGTTTGCACCACCGGGAGGAAGCTGGCCGGTTCGCGCGCCGCCGGGACACCGCACGCCGGGGCCCGCACACCGCCGAGGCAGGGACGCATGTGCACTGCACGCCAGGCCTAGAACGTCGGGGCAGGGCCGCGCGCGCCGGGCCCGATGCCTACCGAAGAGTGAAAGGGGCGTGCCGATGGGATCTCGCCGGGATCTGCTCGGGTCTGTCTGCTCGGGAGGTGCAAGGGAGAGAGTGGACTAGTGGAGGGAGGAGAGAGTGGAGGGAGGGAGGGAGGGAGGGTGGAGTCACGGGAGTCACGACTCGCTCGGTTGCGGGCGCCGCTGAGAGAGAGAGCAAGTGGAGGAGAAGAAAACCCTAAGTCCTGAATATATAGTGGGCTAGGATTTACCGAGGCGGTGGTGTTATAATGACCGCCTCGGTTAATGATTTACCGATGCAGTTATGTTACGATGCTCGCCTCAGTTAATACTTATTAACCGGGACGGTTATTTTACAATGTCCGCCTCGGTTAATGATTAACCGAGGCGGTTATTTTACAATGTCCGTCTCGATTAATATATTAATCGAGGCGGTTGCCTTGCCGCCTGCTTCGAATAACCGAGGCGGGCAACCGGGCCGTCCGCCCGAGGCTATTTTGAAAACGCTGCGCAAAAGATTTTGTGTAGTAGTGAGATACAATGTTTCCAACGACTGATAGCGATCAGGCCGGCATAGTGTCAAGCCATTTAACCGTGTCGTGCCAATGTCGACACTAAGACCCAAGGACGTGGCCTAGGCACGACATTACGGCCATGCCGTGGCATGCATGGGCACTATGAGCTTAGTGCCTTGCCGAGCTTGTATCGTACTTTTTCGGGCTGGGTCGTGCCAGTTCATCAGGCCGGATCCGTTTGGCCATCTAGGTATTAATTCATGGAATACCGGGGACTCACACTCACGAGAGAAAATGTGAGCTGGGAACGAGCTAATGAAAGTGTGTTATGGAGGCTGTGGTCAAGACTAAAGAGAGCTAGGTTATTTCTCTTTATAACAACAGCATATCATTGCTGATTTACTGTCCACAGTAAATTCGCCACGAAGTGTCTACCTACGTGGCCATGCATGCACGCACAGCGACGGCGGCGCACGAATAAATATGCGTACATTTTTCCATGATCGATTGAAGATCGATCATGTTTTCTGCCCCATCTAGGCCGGCGTCCATCCGTCACCGCGCGATGAGCGATCCTATGACGCCGGCGATGAGCGCGGTGGGGTCGCCGAGCACCGCGGAGATGACCACCTGCGCGGCGAACCCGGCGATCTCGCAGCAGCGCTTCACCTTGCCCTTCTTCCTGCCCCAGTACGAGTACCCTCCTCCCCCCCTGCTGGCGTGGCTGCTCTTCGCCGCGCCCCTGATCGCCGGCACCCTGTACCCGCCGCTCCCGGGCACCACCATCCCGCCGTCGTACACGTTCACGCCGGCGCTGCTCACCCCTCCTCCTCGACCTCCTATTCCGCTGGCGGCGCCCTTGTGTCGCCCGACGCCGTGCCAGCTCTCGACGAGCATGTCCATGACGCACGCCACGTGGAGGCTGTAGCACCTGCACTGGCTCCGGTAGCTCCAGCTGCGCCCGCGGTGGCCGCACCGGTGGCAGGGCGGCACGCCGGCGGCCCTGGAGTCCGGGTGCAGGTACAGCCTGACCCCGCCGCCGGCGTCCAGCGCGTGCGGGAGCGCGGCGCAGCACGGGTGCAGGTCGAACCCGCAGGCGCGGCAGTGGTAGACGTAGCCGGCCACGTCGCGGCCGCACGCGTTGCAGTAGCGCGCCCCGGGTCCCCCCGGCGCGCGCGCCAGGAACACGAACGCGCAGCTCGGGTAGAACGGGTGCCGCAGCGGCGGCGGCGGCGGCGACGCGGGGAGCGCGCACTGCCGGTGCAGGTCGTGGTCGCAGCCTGGGTACGGGCAGCGGAACCGCGCCCCGATGCCCACCTCGCGGCACCCGTCGCACCGGAACGGCGTCTCCGCGTGCTCCAGCCGCAGACGGTGCTGCGGGTGGCTGAAGTGCGCCACCTCGCCGTACCTCATCGCCGCCGGCCGGCAGAGTCCCAGCGGATGCTACTGCCCGTGGCTGTTGCACTGCTGTTCAGAGTGTTTGGAGAGAAGCAGGAGGCAAAGGTTTATAAGGAAACAATGGAATGGCAGTTGGATTGGGTGGTTTGGTTCTAGGCTTGGAGAAGAAGAGTTTCGAGGAATTGGAATATATTCTTGTACGTGTCCTTCGATTTTTGGATGTTTGTGATTATTGTATTTCTTGGATTGGGAGTATCAAAGCCTATGTATGGTCGATATGTTCGTTTAAAAGGGTCATGGACTTCAAAAATTCCCTCTAAGAAATCGCAACTTGTTCTGTAAAAACTCATCTTGTCTAGAAGATCCAGCCCCTCCCGGCTAGACAACCTGCTGTTACTTGTTTGTTGTCACATAAACAAAATGAAACAAAAATCTGAATAGTGCCATGTTATTTGTTTGGCAAGTTCATGCACGATGACTAGTCTGACGAAAAGGGACATGCAGCTGGACGACACACATGGTTTTGTCACAGGGCATCTCAAGCTTTCGTGCAGTGTGTTGGTGCAGGCATCTGTTCTTCCACCTCGTCCTCCAATCCAACGTCAGATTGTTCAGGTTCTTCTCTTAACTAACCCCCAAAAAAAAAAAAAAAAAAAACCAGCTGGTGATCCCGCACGGCATTCCCTTCTAAACCAGTTGAGGAACATCCGGTCCTGGATTTCAGCCATCTCCTCGGTGAACGGTGATCTTGCCTTCATGATGGAGGCCCAGCAGAGGATAAGAGCGCACAAATTCCATACTGCATAAGATTGGAATTGGAATGTCCCCAACGGACTACAAAAAACCTGTAGTCATCAGGGATTAATTTCAGTGGAGCGAGAATCGCTTGCGCGGGCAGACAGGAATTTAGGGAGGAATGTATAGGGAAAATATGTGAAACAATTATTGGGACACCATCAACATGTTGGAATTCTTGGCGACATTCTTCAGTTGAAGCCATGAAATGTACTTAGGTTTTTCATGTCGGTGTCAACATAGTGCCAAAAACCTGTAACATTTTTCTACATGAACTTACGTAGGTGTTGCTAGTTTACTACAGTTCAGTGTTTAAGTGCAGAAGCCGAATGCAGGAGTTCTGAACCCTGACAGACAGTTCAGTGTCAAGTTGTCTGTCAGCTCTGCTTTGGCCATTTCCGATGGAAAGTTGGAAACCCGGAGCATCCGATCTTCCCCTGGATACTCTACTGTCGTGTTAAAACTTCCTATAATACTGTTCATGGTGCTCATCAACCAAGGTTAAGCAAGGAATTGGTTCCCGGGGCTCGAATATTGCCCTTATCCGTCTGTATGTCAAAAAGTGAAGAAAAAAGAGCAATGCTATGCAGTAATAATGCACTGAGACCGAAATTATGGAGCACAGTGAACATTGCAAAGCAGAGTCTCATAGCTACCTAGGGCACTTATTGATTGATATCGCCCGCTTTATCCTGATTCAGTTCTTTCCCAAAAGCAAGACCCAATGAGAGACCCTCTTTTTGCAGGGACCAAGATTGAGGAGAATATGTTCTGCAGGTGCAGGGTTCAATCCAAGCTCTGACGAGTCATGAGTGCGGCACAGCATGTGGCGGTGCGGATCGATTCCGGTTGAGTCAGATCACGGCATGCGTCGAACATGGAGTGGCTTGAGTGATGCAGATGAAACTGAGAATGTTTTCAGTCCACATGAATGATGTGGCGATTTGCACTAATATATGCTAGTCCTAGTTTGCATGAATGTAAAGTTATTTTCAGTTTCAGTTATTAGTGAACCAAAGTTTACTTTTAGGATTGGATTCTATCTGATTAAGGAGTTGTCCATGAAGCAAAATGGCAGAAACCTTAACAAGCCAAAACTGATGACGTCTCACAAAAATGTGAATGTTAAAATGATCATGGTAAAGTACAGACTTCACTAGATATTGATATTTTTGCATGATATGAACTATTTAGGAATATAATAGGCAAGAAAATATCCTAAAAATGTCAAAGAGTTTGGAAGGTTGCCAAATGGTAATACAATAATGAGAACATATCTCACTATTACTACCCCTTACCCCACATTAATCCTAACAAGATGCGCTGGAGAAAAAGATAAATTTCAAAAATCTTATGACGAGTGCCTATACCCTAAGTACCCTCACCGACTAGGAGGCGAGGGCGTAGCTTCTGCTGGGTCCACATCTGACTACTGCGCTCCAGGTAGGGGCTTGTTGTGTGTTTCTCGACATCATCAAGTTTCGGATGGCTCCTTTTGCCAGCCTCACCGCTAGCCTCACTCAGGCGGAAGCATCCGCTTTGGGAACCTCGAGTGCTCCGTCAGTGCCGGGGGAAAGCTCAGGCTCATCCCCACTTTTTCTCTCAGCTTCGGAACCCTAGACTTTGTCGCCGACGATGTCGACCACCTGTAGCTCCACAATGAGGCAGTTTGTGGTTACCACATACAAGAGCAAATGTGCTCATGGCCTCATGGACACACTCAGGATCATCAACCTCATCGTCTATGGACGTGGAAGATGTCTAACATCATGGATTAATGGTTGGAGTTGTTAAATTTGCAACATTTGTTGCACTCCATGACGATTCAACCAGTGACGTTCTTTCATCGATTCAGATGCATCAATGGATGGAGTTGCTAAACCTATATCATGTGTTGTACTTGACGACGATTCAATCTAACGTCAGATGCATCGGTTCAGATATATTTCGATCTAACGATTCAATCTAACACAATATCTAACGTTTTGGGTTAGTCGGTAGATTCGGTATAAGAACTCTACTATGGTTTTGGGAGAATTCTGTATTTGGCACCGAAAACATATCACTCTTTCGTATTTGACATTGGAAATTTTGAACTTCCTTATCTAGCATCAACTTGAAAATTTCTTCCATATATGGCACTTCGTCCATTTGATGTAGTAACGGTGTCAAGTGCCACCTAAAATGACATATATACCCCTTACCAGCAATAGGTGTTGGCAATGACCAGCAGTGGCTCCTCATCGGCTGTCCGCCACGGCAGCCTCCGGCTGTCGGCCAGCTCGATGACGACGGCGTCGTCCGCTGCCTCGGCCACGGGGCCCCACCCAGGCACCACAGCCCACCGCACCCACGCCTTGTCTACCTCCACAATGCCAAGGTCCACGTCTGTCTTGGTCCGCCTAGGCGCCGACTCCATGGCCGCGACGCCGTCCGTCTCCCCGAAAGCAAGCGACAAAGATGAAGACGGTGGTCGCCTCGGCGACTCGCCAGATCTTTGGAGCCGCACCACTGCGGACGCGGGCCACGAGGCGGCAGGGTCCTCCTCCTCCCCTCCACCTCCCCGGCCGCCTTCTTCTGGCGGCGCTGGCCCACTCGAGCTCCACGCGCACCTGCCGGACTCGGTCTCCACCGGTGCAGGCTGTAGCGCGCTCCAGCCCATGATGTGGTCCACGTCGATGGCCTCCCGCGATCGGGCGGAACTGCAGCAGCGTAAGGCGAGGCGATCGGCGGGGAGTCCTCCCAAGGCCTCCGGCCTTCCAGCGCCAAGCGCGGAAGCTCTTCATGGCGCGAGCCAGCCCCGCGACGCCCTTAGGCTCGAGCACGTAGTCGATGGCGTGCTGGCGGCGCGGCGGTCGGCCGGGCGCGCGCGCTCAGAAGCGGAGGAGATGAGGGGCGCTGCGTGCCTGTGCCCATCTGTCGCGGAGGATCTGGAGGCGCTGGGTGAGGTCGAGGTTGCGGAGGTCGGGCAACAGAGGGGACGGCGGGTGGGAACTACCGGTAGAGCTGGGCCGGCGGCGCCATCGGGCGGCGTGAAGGGGAGCCTCCGGTCGCCCGCCCGCCGCCGCCTCTCCGAGCGGAGATGGAGCTTCGCGGCGATGTGGTCATTGGTTGGTGGCGTGACGGCGGCGCCACACGGGAGAAGCGTGGCGCGACGACGCTGGGCGTGCTGCCGTGGCGTGGCCATGGTGGGTGGACGGGGAGTGATGAGATTTTGGTACTTATCCAGAAAGATTGACATGGTCAAGGAGGTTAACAAACGGATGGATGGCCAAAATAGACGGAAGTGCCATATACGGAAGAAATTTTTAAGTTGATATTAGATAAGGAAGTTCAAAATTGTCAGTGTCAAATATGAAAGAGTGATTTGTTTCTATGGTTTTAGTGTTTGACGCGTTGATCGAAACCTCTTGGAAAGAGGGTAATGAGAGTATTTAATAGAACACTGTTTCTTTTTCTATATTATTAGATAGAATATTATTTATTTTTTATTCCTAGTTCTTTCATATGTAATCTAGTCTAGAGATGTATTTTGCCATGTTTTAATGGCTATGTTCGCTTGTCTTAAAGTTTGGTTTGTTCGGCTTTTTTCAGCAAGAATAGTGTTTTTCTCTCACAACAATTCAGCCGGAACAGTGTTTTTTAGCCAGTTTCAGCCAAAGTTCAGATCAGCAAACGGGGCCTGAAAAAAATCTATCAATGAATTCCGTAGTGCAGAGATTATTTCCTTTTCCCTTGGAAAAAAATCTATCAATGAATTTCGTATGATGAGGACATCAACACCGATCATACATCCACGCCGTCCACGTCGACACCTGCTGGTCCTATTACCCGTGCTCGTGCTCGAACACTTAATCATCAAGTGAGTTTCTTCTTGAGCTCTTGTCCATCCTGTTTAGATCTTGGAAACACATGCACTCTTGTTTTGATTAGGAATCAAGGAGAAGACCGAAAGGGAAAAGGACTCGCGTAGGTCGGATTCGGACTGCAGCACACCTCCAACTTGCGACGGTCGCCACGGTTACATACGGAGTCGGATTGGGGTGATTCTGGACTTGTTGGAAAGCTAATAAAGTCTACTTTCATACGGATCTGACCTCATACTCATACCTGCTCAGAAACGGCGTCAACAGTCCAAAAATCACCGAGAGGTCTATTCTGTCCTGTGGTGTCTTGCGCCACCTTAAGTTAGCCCAATGGGCTTGTATCGTTTAGAGTCCAGAGGACGGGGACGCGTCCTAGGGTTGAGCACGACCCAAACTCTCTTGTGGTCGTCCTCCCACGTCATATACCCCTTAGCCGCCACCAGAACACTTGGGTTTTGTTTAGATCAAGTTTAGCCTTTGCTACTTGCTTGTAGGCGCGTCTTTGATCCAACGACCCTGCGCGTCTCCTTGTCTTTCGAACCCCACTCATAATAAGATTCAGTTTGAGGCTTTCAATTTCATCTTGCAAATTCGGTGCTTGTTTCCTTGTTCTTGCTAGTTCTTGATTGCTTGCGGTGGGGGCAGGAGCCCTAGTGGCTGATTGTCGCGCTCCACAAGATCGCGCGGCCTTTGGAGGTGGTGTATCGGTTGCTAAGGCGCGGTCTTGGAAGGGCTGTAGTCGGGCCGTGAACGTCATCTCCATCCACCAAATCGAGTGATCTCACACCTCTCATCGAAAGATCGTCCATAAACCCTAGCGGGTTCATATCGGTTGGTAATCGAGCAAGGTTTATCGGTGAGAGACTTGTAATTCTCGCTGCTTTTTTTTTCCTACAGTCCAAAAAAAAGCCAAAAAAATAGTAGATTAGTTTCCTACAATCCTATAGACCTTTGGGCCGTGGCTAGTGCTACCTAGTTAGGGCTTGTTGAGTCGTCGGTTGCATCGGTTGTGTCAAGTTGCTGGTCTTAGTTTTAGTTTTTAGAGTTTCGAGTTCTTGTCACGTTCTATCACAACACGCGCTATCATATAGTCTCTCTGTTGGCGAATCCAAGTAGGGTTTGAAGTTTGAATCGGACGCGAATCTGTTCGCCTCTCTCGTTGGCGAATCCAAGTAGGTTTTCAAGTTTGAGTCGGATCAAGGAATCCGGTATTCCTCATTTGTTGGCCAAGTCCGAGTAGAATTGGAAGTTCCAATCGGATGAGGAATCGATTCACCCTGTGCTACAAATATCAAACGAACCACGCAGCAAGTATTCATATCTAAACGAGTGGCTTACTCTAGAGAGAGAGAGAGAGTTACTCTTTGGGAGTGTTCTTGTTCATACAATCAGTTTTGAGTGCCCCCTGAAAAAAAAATTATTCAAAAAAAAAGAAAGAAAAAAAAGAGAAAGAACCAAAAGAAAAGAAGAGAAAGGGGTTGATCTTAGAGATTTTTCGTTCACTTCGGGTGGTGTGTTGTGCTCTCCTTTGTGTCCTGGGCTCGCGTCTAGCACGGTCGTAGACTAGGACCAAAGACAAGATCGCCGCCGGTTGAACGATTATTCAGCGCTTTTTGTAACTAACGTGGTGCTAGTTCGTTTCTTGTGTCAGCCCACCTATAGCTCCACATATTCTACTGACTTGCGAGGTCTCGTGTTTGCGCACCGATACACTTCATCCATTCTTTGCGCAGACTTGTTGGTAGATGACCCCTCTGTCGAGCAAGGTAAGAACTGGTAAGAACTTGTGTAATAGGTGGAGAGTGAGCGACTTTGCTGTAGCTACATCCTAGTAGTTGTAGGGCTTTTATTTCTTCACTTGTCTTCTTGTTGTCTTTGTCTTTGAACCATGCCAGGTGGTGAAGATAACCAAATTCCACATTCGCCTCGCACAAAGGGCATCATACAACATTTTGAAAGGAAAGTGAAGTTGCACACGGAGGGACTTGATAATGACTTGCGGTGACAAATGACAAACTTGGGCGGTTGAGGCTACGCAGATTGCCGCAAACAACAAGCTTGCGTGTTTGGAGCGATCCATTGCTAGTGTGGACAAAAGCCTTTGCTGTGCCGAGGCGTTTTGATGACCTCCACAACAATGATAAAGACCAGCATAAAGAAGAAAAAGAAGGAGGAAGATCGAGAGGATGGTAGTTATGATGAAGAATACCACGGTGATCGCCGAACATGATGATCGAGACACTCGTGATCGACGTCGCCTACATCACAACCGTAGAGGTATGGGTGGCCGCCCACGCCGAGGTACACAATAATGATGATGCTTTCAAGAAGATTAAATTTAAAATACCTCCTTTTGATGGTAAATATGATACGATGCATACATTACTTGGGAGATTCTTTGTTGATCAAAAGTTTGCATGCCATGAATTTCCGAGAACACACATGTTAGGGTTGCTACTAGTGAGTTCACAGATTTTGCTTCTGAGTTTGGTGGATCGAATATGGCAAGAAAAATCCTAATAACATACCTAAAACTTGGGATCTTGTTGAAACGAGCCATGAGAGCTAGATTTGATTTGTTCCATCTTACTATGCCCGTGATATGATAAATAAGTTGCGCAATTGAGACAAGGTTCTAAAAGTGTAGAAGAATACTATCGGGGAATTACAAGCGGGTATGTTGCGTTGTAAATTAGAGAAGGATGAGGAACCTGCTATGGCTAGATTTTTAGGTGGGTTAAATCGAGAAATTCAGGATATCCTCGCCACAAAGAATACAATAACGTAACCAAACTGTTTCATCTTGCTTGTAAAGTGAGCAGGGAAGTGCAGGGACGACGTGCTAGCGCAAGGACTAATGTTTTTGCAGGAAAGCTAGTTCATGGCAGACCAAGACGCGTCTACAACTCCGTCTACACGCACTCCTACGCCATCATCTAGTGACAAGACTCTCGAGCTGCCCCCACCAATTCAAAGAGAGCGAAGGCAAATTAAAAGCCGGTCATGAGTACTTCATCCGTGGCATCGGCAGGTAGAACAAGCAACATACAATGTCATCGGTGCAAGGGATATGGCCATATGATGCGGATCGCCCAAACAAGCGTGTTATGATTGTCAAAGATGATGGTGAGTGTTCATACGCTAGTGATTTTGATGAAGATACACTTGCATTACTTGCGGCCGACTATGCGGTAGTGAGGAACACATAGAAGAACACATTAATGCGGTGATGCGGAGCACTATGAGAGCTTGATTGTACAATGAGTGCTTAGTGCACAAATGGAGAAGGCGGAGCAAAATCAGCGACACACTTTATTCCAAACAAAGTGTGTCATCAAGGAGCGTTTCGTGCCGCATGATCATTGATGGAGGTATGCAACAACTTGGCAAGTAGCGACATGGGCGTAAGCTCTCGCCCTCACCACCAAACCACACCCCCATCCCTACTACATCCAATGACCGAACAACGTTGGTAAGACAAAGGTAACTTAGATCGGTGCGAATCGATTTTGCCATCGGATCATACAAAGATATTGTTGAATGTGATGTTGTGCCTATGCAAGCTTGCAATATTACGCTAGGTAGACCATGGCAATTTGATAGAGATTCGATGCATCATGGTAGATCAAATCAATATTCGTTTCTATACCATGATCGAAAAAATTGTGTTGCATCCTATGTCTCCTGAAGCTATTATGCAATCTGATGTTACTTTTTGCAAAAGCAAAGAGCGAGAGTGACAAATCATTGTTGATGACAAAGATGAGATAAAATTGAAAGGACGTTGTATGCTTGCTACAAAATCTGATATTAATGAGTTCAATGCATCCACCTCTTGTTTGCTTATGCTTTGGTATGCAAGGATGCTTTGATTTCATTTGAGGATATGCAACGTTCTTTGCCCCCTTTGTTGCTAACATTTTGCGGGAGTATTCGATGTGTTTCCCATTGAGATACCGGTGGGTGCCACCAATACGAGGGATTGAGCACCAAATTGATCTTATCCCTGGAGCATCTTTTGCCAAACCGTGCGCCATCTGGGACCAATCCGGAGGAAACGAGGAAATTCAAGCGACAAGTGCAAGAACTACTAGACAAAGGTTATGTGCGTGAGTCTCTTAGTCCTTGTCTTTGTTCGGTGTGATTTTAGTGCCTAAGAAAGATGGAACATGGCGCATGTGTGTTGATTGTAGGGCTATTAATAATATCACCATTCGATATCGACACCCTATTCCACGATTAGATGATATGCTTGATGAATTGAGTGGTCTTGTTGTATTTTCAAAGGTTGATTTGCGTAGTGGGTACCACCCAGATTCGTATGAAATTGGGAGATGAATGGAAAAGCGCTTTCAAAACCAAGTTCGGTCTATATGAGTGGTTAGTCATGCCTTTTGGGTTAACTAATGCACCTAGTACTTTCATGAGATTAATGAACGAGGTTTTTGCGTGCTTTCATTGGGAAATTTGTTGTCGCTCTACTTTGATGATATATTGATTTATAGCAAATCCATGGATGAACACCTTGATCACTTACGTGTTGTTTTTAATGCTCTACGTGATGCACGTTTGTTTGGTAACCTTGAGAAGTGCACTTTCTCGCACCGATCGAGTATCGTTTTCTTGGCTATGTTGTCACTCCATGGGGAATTGAGGTTGATAAAGCCAAGGTGGAAGCTATACAAGGATGGCTCTGCTGTACCCTGACGGTCACACAAGTGCGGAGTTTCCTAGGACTTCTTGGTTTCTATCGCCGCTTTTGTGAAGGACTTCAAAGCATTCATTGTTGCACCATTGAATGAGCTTACAAAGAAGGGAGTGCCCTTTTCTTGGGGCAAAGCATAAGAGCACGCCTTCCATGTCTTTGAAAGATAAGTTAACACATGCACCTCTACTCCAACTCCCCGATTTTAATAAGACTTTCGAGCTTGAATGTGATGCTGAGTGGAATTGGATTGGGTGGTGTTTTGTTACAAGAAGGAAAACCTGTTGCATACTTTAGTGAGAAATTGAGCGGGCCTATTCTTAATTATTCTACATATGATAAGGAATTATATGCTCTAGTACGGACATTAGAAACATGGCAAAGCATTATTTGTGGCCCAAAGAATTTGTTATACATTCGATCATGAATCTTTGAAGCATATTCAGTAGTCAAGGAAAACTGAATCGTAGACATGCAAAATGGGTTGAATTTATTGAATCTTTTCCTTATGTTATCAAACACAAGAAAGGGAAGGATAATATCATTGCAGATGCATTGTCTAGGAGATATACTTCTTTGAATCAACTTGATTACAAGATCTTTGGGTTAGAAACAATTAAAGACCGATATGCTCATGATGCTGATTTTAAAGAAGTCTTCTTTGCATTGTAAAGATGGGAAAACGTGGAACAAATTCATCCTCAATGATGGGTTTGTGTTTAGAGCTAACAAGCTATGCATTCCAGCTAGCTCCGTTTCGCTTGTTGTTCTTTGCAGGAAGCGCATGGAGGTGGCTTGATGGGGCATTTTGGAGCGAAGAAGAAGACGGAGGACATTCTTCTTTGGTCATTTCTTTTGGCCAAAGATGCCGACGAGACGTGGAGAGATTTGTTGCTCATGCACAACATGTCAAAAGGCTAAGTCCCGGTTGAATCCACACGGTTTGTATATGCCTCTTCCTGTTCCTAGTGCTCCTTGGGAGGATATTTCTATGGATTTTGTGTTGGGATTGCCAACGGACTAGGAAAGGCGAGATAGTGTTTTTGTGGTTGTGGATCGATTCTCTAAAATGGCACATTTCATACCATGTCATAAAACTGATGATGCTACAAATATTGCTGATTTGTTCTTTTTCGAGAAGTTGTTCGTTTGCATGGTGTGCCAAATACAATTGTTTCGATCGTGATGCTAAATTTCTTAGCCATTTTGGAGAACTTTATGGGCCAAATTGGGGACTAAGCTTTTATTTTCCACCACTTGTCACCCCTAAACTGATGGTCAAACTGAAGTTGTGAATAGAACTTTGTCTACTATGTTAAGGGACTGTTTTAAAGAAGAATATTAAGATGTGGGAAGATTGTTTGCCTCATATTGAGTTTGCTTTATAATCGTCATTTGCATTCTACTACTACGAAGATGTGTCCCTTTGAGATTGTTTATGGCTTGTTACCACGTGCTCCTATTGATTTAATGCCATTGCCAAGTTACGAAAAGTTGAATTTTGATGCTAAGCAACGTCTTTGAATTGATGCTAAAACTACATGAAACCACTAAAGAAAACATAGAGCGCATGAATGCTAAGTACAAATTTTTTGGAGATAAAGGTAGAAGGGAATTGATTCTTGAACACGGAGATTTGGTTTGGTTGCATTTGCGAAAGGATAGGTTTCTGAATTAAGAAAATCTAAATTGATGCATAGAGCGGATGGTCCTTTTAAAGTGATGCAACGAATAAATGAGAATGCATATACGCTTGATCTTCCCGCAGATTTTGGGGTTAGTCCCACATTTAACATTGCAGATTTGAAGCCTTATTTGGGTGAGGAAGATGAGCTTGAGTCGAGGACGACTCAAATTCAAGAAAGGGAGGATGATGAGGACATCAACACCGATCATACATCCACGCCGTCGTCCACGCCGACACCCTCTTTGGTCCTATTACCCGTGCTCGTGTTTCGAACACTTAATCATCAAGTGAGTTCCTTCTTGAGCTCTTGTCCATCCTGTTTAGATCTTGGAGACACATGCACTCTTGTTTTGATTAGGAATCAAGGAGAAGACCGAAAGGGAAAAGGACTCGCGTAGGCGGATTCGGACTGCAAAGACACCTCCAACTTGCGCGACGGTCGCCATACGGTTACATACTGAGTCGGATTGGGGTGATTCTGGACTTGTTGGAAAGCTAATAAAGTCTACTTTCATACGGATCTGACCTCATACTCATACCTGCTCAGAAACGGCGTCAACAGTCCAAAAATCACCGAGAGGTCTATTCTGTCTGTGGTTGCGCCACCTTAAGTTAGCCCAATGGGCTTGTATCGTTTAGAGTCCAAGAGGGACGCGTCCTAGGGTTGGAGCACGACCCAAACTCTCTCTTGTGGTCGTCCTCCACACGTCATATACCCCTTAGCCACCACCAGAACACTTGGGTTTTGTTTAGATCAAGTTTAGCCTTTGCTACTTGCTTGTAGGTAGCTGCTGTGATCGATCCAAGCGCCGTCTCCTTGTCTTCTGAACCCCACTCATAATAAGATTCAGTTTGAGGCTTTCAATTTCATCTTGCAAATTCAAAGTGCTTGTTTCCTTGTTTCGCTAGTTCTTCGATTGCTTGCGGGGACGGGAGCCCTAGTGGTCGGTTGTCGCGCTCCACAAGATCGTGTGACGGCCTTTGGAGGTGGTGTATCATCGGTTGCTAAGGCGCGGTCTTGGAAAGGTGTAGTGTCGGCCGTGAACGTCATCTCCATCCACCAAATCGAGTGATCTCACGCCTCTCATCGAAAGATCATCCATAAACCCTAGCGGGTTCATATCACCGTAGTAGCTTCACATTTGCAATTCGAATAATTTGATGTCCTATGGATGATACTACCAGAGTTATCTCTGCAAGGGAGTGGGAAAAAACTGAGAGATCCAAATCCAATGGTGCCCTGCACCGGTGGAATGGGAGTAAATGAAATCGGCATTCCCTTCCATAATAAATCAGCGCACCAACCCCGCTGTACGCTAGCGGGCGGGAGAGGTGAGTGGTGCCAGTGCGTGGCCGCTCGCAAAGCCCCCCGGTGCACCGCATCGCACTCAACCACGTGCACGCATCCATGCTGCCGCGCCGCTGCTGCCTCACTTTCACTAGCAGCAGCAGCCGCAGCTCTTGCCGCCGCGCCATGTGCTCGCCTGCGCATCCGCCGCCTCCTGCGCACTGACCCTGACCCGCCCAGCCAGAGCCCAGAGGACGACAGCGCCAGCCACAACCGCCATGCGCGCGCCGCCCAGGCGGCGGCGGCCGTCCCCTGCTGCGCCGGCGCCTGCTCCGTCCGCCGCCGCCTCGCCTTCTGGCGCCGCCGTCAGCTCGCCGCCTTCTCCCTACCCGGCGTTCGCGTCGCTGGTCCCAGGCCCGGCGCCGGGTCCCGGTCCCGGCCCCGCGCCTGAGCCATCTGCGGTGAGGGCGTTCGCGGGCGGCAGGCGCGGCGGTGGCGGCGCCGGATCGAGCCTGAGCCCGCCGCTCATCGCGATGCTGGCTGTGGTGGGCGCGGCGCTGCTGGTGGTGCTGTACGCGCGGCTGGTGAGCCGCGTGTTCCGCGCGGCGCGGCGGCGGTGGCGCCGCCGCCGCCGCCTCCGGCTGCTGATGATCCCGGCGGGGTCCCCCTCGGCGCGCGGCGGCGGGGACGACTCCTTCGCGTCCTTCACCACGTACGACAACTACTACCACACCTTCTCGCCCTACTACGGCCTGGACGACGCCGCCATCAAGTCGCTGCCGTCGGCGCAGTACTTGGCCGGCACCGGCTCGTCGTCTGCGTCGGCGCGGGGCTCCGGCGCGTCCAGGGAGTGCGCGGTGTGCCTGCTGGAGTTCGCGGACGGCGACGAGCTCCGCGCGCTGCCGCTGTGCGCGCACGCGTTCCACGCCGACTGCATCGACGTGTGGCTCCGCGCGCACGCGTCCTGCCCGCTCTGCCGCGCCGCCGTCGCGCTGCCGCCGCCCGTGCCGTCGCCGCTGCACCGCGCCGCCGCGCGCCGGGTGCGGCCCAGCCTCGACGACCTCCTCTTCTTCCACCCGGTGCCGCCTGCTGCTCAGCCGGCAGAGCAGCAGCAGGCGGAGATCGCGCCGGCCAGCCCGGACCAGCAGCAGCAGCAGCTCGCGGCGGCCGCCGGCGCCAGGGACTTCCTGCTGAAGCGCTCCTACTCGCTCGGCTTCGAGCGCAGCCTTGCCATGGTGGAGGCGGCGTCCACGGCGTCGCCTCCGTGGCGGTACCGCGTGTCCGCTTTCGCCGCAGGCGCCGCGACCGACGGCGGGACCACCTCCCGGGGCCGCGGCTTCTGGAGCAAGCGCTGGCCGTCCCCGTTCGGCGGCGGCGGCGCGGGCGGATCCGCGGCCGCCCGCGTCTTCTCCTTCCGGTCGTACCGCGCCGGCGGCGGCGGCGCGGCGTGCAAGCCGTCCCCGTTCTCCCGGCGGTTCCGCGGCGGCGGGAGCGGGTTCTTCATGTCGCTGGCGTCGGAGCCCCCCTCGATCCTGGCCGCGGCGAGGCGGAGCAGCCGGCTCCGGTGCGGCGACCCCGAGGCGCTGCTCTCGCCGGACCGGCTCAGCCGCTGAGGCGGTGTGCGGATCTCGGTTCGCTCCGGTCGTCCCCTCCGATCCCCTCGTGGTGGTGGGCCTGGGGGCCTGCGTGGAGACGGGGGCGGGCAGTAATGGCGCGATAAATGCGAGGCCCTGCCGCGGTTTTAATGGCGGGAGGACGTGTGCCCAGACCGCGTGGTGTCGCTTCCTGCAGCCAGCCAGCAGAGCAGCTCGGGCGGGCTCCAGCTCTCACTCACTCCCACTGGCGCCACTGCGCTTGGGCGCTCGGCTCGGCTCGGCTCCGTCTCATCCATCACCTTTTCAACAAAAATCTCCTCTCGTCGTCAAACGTTTCGTTTCGTTTCGGTTTGGTTTGGTGTTTGAGCAAGGGCGGTGCACGGTGCGGTGCGGCCGTGTAGGGCCCCGGTGGGGCACAGGCATGTCTGGGCCGTCCGATCAGAAAACGACGGCATCCGGGTGGAGCCCTCGTTTTCTCGCCGGACGGCTCGTAGTCATATAGTCATAGGCGGGAATGGATGACGTGTGCATGCTTCCTTCGTCTCAATTCTCAACCGTTTGGTTTGTCTCATGGCTTCCTGTTTTCGACTGTATTTCCAGCGGTACTATATATTGTAATTTTGATGTGTTGGGTGTTTTGGTACGCATGTCATGTCGCACGGCACCATCGGTATGTGCTACACTCCGTATATAGCACGGCAGTGAATACTAGTAGCTCAGTAAACTCCCTTCCAAAGATATACAACTCTGAGTTTAGATTTAGTCAATTTCACTGGGTTTAACTTAGTATATAGAAAATATTGGCCTTGTTTGCTTCGCTGAAAAATATTGTTCGCTGATTTATTGTGAGAGAAAAAACATTGTACCATGGCCGATAAGTTCAAGCGAATAGGGCCATTATTAATATTTAGGTTTTTAAAATATATACGATATAAAATATATTTCATAGTGAATCTAATTTAATTATTTGAGATCATAATCCATACTAGTTTTTTATATGCATTTGATCAAATTTGAGATAGATTGACATGGTAGGAACCAAGAATTGTATCATTCTCGGGACGGAGAGAGTAAAACATATGTGTGCATATATATTACTAACAACTAAGTTTTTTTTCACAGATAAAGGTATAGATGCAGATGATGATATAAATGTATGCACACTTACCCCTACAAACACAAAGACTAGGCGAGCAGATCTCAAAACTAAAAGTCATGACATACGCCTTGTTGTCGACAGGTACATCACATACCAATGAAGGAATAGTGCCACAAAATCTATAGTGAAATAAATCAAGGAAAAAGAATATAAATACGCATGTCAAGTTAGGAACACAAGCCCAAATAGGTTGGTTCCACCACAGCAAACCTAACTAGTTGAGCTACATTCAGTTTAGATTTCGTTGTTTAGGCATGTCTTTTTTCTTAAACAAATGAAAATACTCATACTAGTATCTCTATTACTAATTGAGGTTCCAATATTTAGGCTTGTTCGCTTGAACTTATCAGCCGGCTTATCAGCTAGAATCTACAGTATTTTTCTCTCACAACAAATTAGCTTCAGTCGGCTTTAATACCAGCCGAACAGCCAAGTCTCATATTAGTCCTAACGAGAGATGTCCTGGAAAGATAAAGTTTAGAAAAATTCTCGCAATTGTTTGAAAAGTATGGCCATTGATTCATTATGCTATAGTCACATTGATAATAACGACCACTACGTATTGTTTTCTAAAAGAAAATACCCACCTGTACAACATAGAGTAGCCCCTCAAATATGCATCGAAACCACCTACATTATCATATATATAATCTTAAATATACATATACCCTCTAAATTTGCATCCAAATTACTCATACTGCCATTACGATGTAGTATAATCTAAGTAACCACTTAGTTTGCTTGACAAATATATATTTCCTATAGTATAAGAAATTATGAAAAATATTCCTTTGAGGACTTTTATACAAACAATTCGTATGAAATTATATTAATACCTTGACATCAAGTCAAGTAAGTTGTTGTTTTTAGATAACTATATAGCTTTTGACATCTCTATAATGATAATAGAATATATATAGTTATAAACAATTTATTTTCTAAAAAAGCACTAGTACACATATAATTGTACAATAGAGAAAATATAAAATCTTTGGTTGGAACTGTCAGTACAGACTGAAGGTGGCCATGGCCGTCTATTTTTTTTTTTTTAATCTTTAGAGTAACTGTGGTGGTAAGGTTTAAGTATTAGCATATGACTATGCTAAACAAATGAGGGAAGAGAGAAGTCATTTTGTTTAGTATACGTGTAAGTACGAACTGTGTGTCATTTCGCCCTGTTCGTTTGAACAGCTTATTAGTCATGGTATTTTTTTTTGTGAAATTTTCTGATAATAAATTAGCATCAGCCCACTTATCAGTCACAGAAATTATCAGCCGAATAACTCTTTTATATCTTGGAAATTTATAGACCATGAAGCATTTTTTTTCCAGAATCAAGGAAGCTGCATCGATCTGGGTAGCACTAGCACCAGCTTGAGCACATGCTCTCATGCTGTCGTAGGCCTAGTTTAGATTGTAAGTTTTTTCACTTTCTTTATTATATTAAATTTTTGGGCCTATTAAATGTAGATAAAAAATAATTAATTATACAGTTTGATTGTAAATTACGAGACGAATCTTTTGAGTCTAGTTATGTCATGATTGGACAATAATTATCAAATATAAATGAAAGTGCTACGGTGACGAATATTGATTTCTACCCGCCATCTAAACAAGGCCGTAGCTTTTGTAGCACGGCACTCCTGTACTGGTCGGAGCGGCGGATACGGCACGGCAAGCTGTGCAGCGCCTGCATGCCTGGGCTTGGGATGGCTGTGATGTGAACGGTCAATGGTGTGGTCGTGCGGATGGGATGCAGTGCAGCAGTCGTGCAAACAAGGTGCGATCGCACCAGCCAGCACCCACGTCTGGAAGGAAGAGGAAAAAAGGAGGTGTGGGGGAGCGCGAAGCGCGGAGCGGCGTAAATTGGCTGTCGCGTAAAGCGGCGGCCCTGCGTGGACGCCACAGCCTGGGCTGTGTGGCCCATCCGTGGACGCACGCAGCGCAGCGCAGCGCAGCGCAGCCCGCCCCAAGCCATTGGATCGCCCGCTTGCTACCGCTGCCTGCCGGGCCCCTCCTTGTACTGCTGTCCTGGGCCCTTGGTGATGACGTGTCGTACTGTCGTAGCCACGGCGTCGTGCGCGTCTCCCCCGGCTCAACTCGGATCCATACTCAGCATCCGCATAGCATCATCAGCTGCTGTTCAAAATTGATGGTGATGGGAGATCGATCATCGGAGGTTATCTGTAATGCGATGGAGGAAGATTATTCTGATCATTGAGTGATATATTTTGGAGTCCCCAGCATGTACGGACCACCTTCTAACCAAGTGTCTTTTTTTTCCGTGAGTTTTCGCCAGGATTTATTTCGGTTGTTGTCACGTTGTCTCCACTCTGTCTATCCTAGGCGGTCCAAGTGTCCAACGACGACCACGAGGCCGTTTAGCTGCTGTAGCATGGTAAATCTGTGATGATAGCTCCCCCGTCTACAAATCAAGTTTCTATGGCGGGTTGTGCACATTGTCTTATCTTGGGTATTATTATACCTCCTTTGAATGTTTAGTATTTTTTTTTGTTGTACAGCACATGGAGTTAAAAGTCCAGGCCTTTTCCTTTTTCTGATGTGGACACAACACACGAGGGTAAAAAAGAACATTATTCATCCAAATCTCTAACTTTCACAAAAAAAAGAAGCGGCGTTTGCGACTCGGCCCGAGAGGCAGATTCTCTGCGCCGTGGCTGTTTTGCAACTTGCTATGTTTGTGGTCGTGGCTCATGAGCGCGAGCCTGGCTTCCCAGAGCCAAACGCCCTCTAATTCGGCCCTAGATGAAGCGACCAAAACCCTCGTTTCTTTGGAGCCGAGCTCGTGGCGTGGCACGCAGCGAAGCGATTAGCTGGCGGCGGGGTGGTGGTCAAGGGCTCTGGCGGGAGGGAAAACTTTTGATGCTAGGCGTCCCCGCTCCTCCCGCCCGCCGCCGCTTTTTGTGTGATGATCGTATCGTCGTCACCTAGTTTTTTGTGTGATGATTTTTTTTTGTTGGCGCATCACATTTATAGTTTTTTTTTCTGGATATGTATATCTATTTGGATTCGATTTCGATCTCAGATTTTAGTTCCGGTTTACTGAGTGTTGGTTTCTGCGGGGTATAGAGTTTTGTATGTAGAGGAGACGGATAACAGCCAAAATCATGATCCGTGGTTATAGAGTTTGGACTCGGAAGAGGACACGAACAACAGCCAAAACGTGGAGCGACGACGCATAAAGAACGCTGGAGGGCCAGACCAAAATTTTAGCGGTAATTTTGACTTTTTAGTATTATATATATATATATATATATATATATTACGTTATTAAGATTTATATTTTTATCTATATATTTAGTCAAACTTCAAACGCTTTAATCGAAAATGCACCTAAAACTGCGTTCTTCTTGGGCAGAAGGCAGTAGCTTTTTGCTAGTCTACTACTACTACTAGGGTTATTAACTGAGCTCCATTTGGATCTTAGAATTAACAGTAGTACTTAAATAGTCCCGGATAATAACTTTAAAATTAGATCTAGTCAAGGACCAATATGCCAGATTCTTGGAAGACGCAACAACAAAAATGAAAGATTGGTTAAAGGCCTTATGGGAGCAAACTAAAAGTTTGGAGATGGAGGGCTTGATCTGAATGCCAACAAATGTGTTGTGGTTTCTGCTGGGGATAAGGGCACGTACAACGGGACCCTTTGAGCCGTCTGCGTCCAGAAAATTTTGCAAAAACACCCCTCATGAGGGGCAGACGGCACAGGGTCGTCGTCTTGTGAGGCGCCGGCTTCGGCCCGTGCTCCAAGGAATGAACTACGCACGAACGGATCTCGTGTGGGTGAGAGCGACGTAGCAGTCCACAGAAGTGTTTGTTCTTGTCCTTTTCCAAA